ATGGTAGGTAAGCCCATGGCGATTTACGAGCTGCACAATCGCGGAAAAATATCGCATAATTTTCGTTTCTGTCATACAATTTGCCTCAATTCGCAATAGTCGGTGCAGAAAGACAATCACTGGGACAGCCAATGGGAACTTTCAGAATCAGATGAGATCCGTGTAGTTAAAATACACTTGTTTTAATGATAAGCAAAACTACACGAGTCTTTCCAATCTCCCACAAATATGATTCCAAGGTAATAGCTCCTTATGAGGCGTCTTCCAGGCTCATAAATCTTGTTGCATCTTCAGAGGCAACTTGGTCGTTTAAGGTAAAAAAGGCTTTTCATCGGGAAACTGACTGAGGCATGCTCACAGGCCAATGTCAATGGGAAAGTCAGTAATGACGACTACCATTGTAGCGTAAAGTACGTGAGATGTAAATTTGACAGTTATTGTCTAAACACATGTGCCTCGAAGAAAAATTTACACAAGCGTGAGAAAAGTGCAAATGACACACTACAAAGGTGGGTGATCTCACAACTCAGTTGAGGATATTTATACTTGATCCGAAGGAGGACCTGTGGGACAATTTAATGTCGCATAAAAGACACAAAAGTGTAGCTCAAGTTTTGGAAAAAATGCGGTGCCTCCTCCACCTCCCTACTGGCTGGATAGAATCCAGATAGATATAGCTGAACAGCACTGAAGTGAGAACAAAGTGGGAAGGAGGATTGGACGCGAACCATTACCTCCTCAAAACTATTTTATGCCTAGTCCTTCATCAAATAACTGCCTGTAAGGCAACGGTTTTACGTCTAGCGATAGACACACAAGAGAGCCAACACAATCCCCTTTCTCTCAGTACACTTTCTATGCAGGATAAAACTCCAGATTCAGCAAAATTGCCAAGATGGACCAGTGACCTTGCAATCAGACATCCTCGCATTTGCACGCAAATTTGATGACTGGTGCGGTTAGTTCGTGGATGTTTTTTTCCTACAGCACCAACTACGTTGTGATAGCCGATGCAAGAGGTTGACCGAGAGGAGCGCCGGGGACGACTCTCAAGAGGAGAAGACTATGCAATAGTTTGGTTGTTCGTTTAACTCTTCGTTTTGATATCGCGAGCACTTAAGATTCCGCATTTGTACTTCCTCCAGGCCATGCTAGTAGCCCGCAGCTCACCTGTATATCGACAAAACTTTTTTTGCCCCTTAGTATTATGACTACTTTTGCATTCGGGAAAGACTTAGGGGCTACAGAAGAACAAGGATTTGAAGGAGGAAATCCATGCGAATGCAGTTAATGACAAGATGGTTTGTTTACTCAGACATATCAATTAAGATTAAGGAGGGATCGGATTGTACCATGTTTTGTCGCACCGATCTCATGTGAAATTCGGTCTCACGATGCATCAATTCAGATTGAAAATGTCAGATTAGATGGAACCCATACAAGCAAACAAAATCTAAACTTTTAAGCAAATTTTGTTTTCTTCAGAGGCTATAAAAGCATTTATGCTTGGAATAATAAAAAAGAAGTCAGATCACTTTCATAATTTTTTTACTGAAATGCCGTAATTGGCTGGCGACTGCTAAACCTAGGAGGGGTAAATTCTGAAAAGAAAGAAATAAAATTTACTTTTTTTTCATTGAAATGTTCCCCGTAAAAAGGGCTATCCACAGGTGGAAAAAGTGGACTTGAGTCTAGAGAAAAAAGGCAATTGGGCAAGTGAGAAACGGAGCATATCACCAAGTAAGCCCGGAAGTGGAAAAAACTTCATTTCACAGGTTTTTAATACCCTTTTAGGCTCTGCTTTAATGTGTAAATATTTTGAACGAGTTCATTCACTGGTGGGACCACGAGAAAAAATATTTCCTGTTTTAAGTCGTCAGCTCATAATTACTAAATAATTGCCACCAGATGCTGAAGTAGATTACATTACATGAAAAATCTAAAAGGCAACTAACTTCGCGACAGTTATCTTGTCAAAGAGGGCGGACAAGCCTTACCACTAACACCTGGATACATTCGGATGGTTTGTGCTTATGTTCAGAGGGAAGAACAAGATCAACATTTATCATCTTTATTCGTCAGTGAGAATTCAAACGCATTTTGCAGTCAATGTGACTTGATAAGAAATATGAAGGAGGTGAAGAGGACCTACCAAGTCCAACGGTTCCCAAGAGCCACTCCTAGAGGGTCCGCTTTTCGTCTTCGCACCGACTTCCTGCGCAGTGCTTCGATCACCAGTGGCAGAGTTGTGAGAGGGACTAGTGCCGGTGGTTGGCAGAACAGTTGGAGGTGGGGGCGGCGGTGGGACCGCCTTCGAACTCAAAGTGCAGATGAGCGGTCCCGGACGCAGCCCTCCTCCACTGCCGTTATGAAGTCCATCCTTACTTTCCACCTCTGCCTCTTCCTTTGCCTCGTCCTCTGCATTCCGATCCGCATTCTCCTTTTCGCTTGCATCCGAGTCGTCCGCATGGGGCAAGTTCAGAGAATTCAAGTCAAAACTAAAACACCCAGACCCACATACTCAGGTTGGTATTTAAAGTGGTATGGACTAAACAATGCAAGCTCGATTCTGCAATGTCAGTGCTATTCAGCATCTGTATCTGACGCTTTTTGAGTGGATTTTTAAGTAACAGGTTAGTACATTTGCTCTCGAGCAGCTATCTAATCAGGAGAACTAAAAAGGTTGCATTAATCGACGCTCAAATACATCCGAGGTTCATTATATCTGACTACGTCTGACGGATGGTCATATCCTTATCAGCGTTGACCTAATGCGAGAAAACTTGTAATTTCAAGATGGAAATAGGATATTTTCTTGAAAAAATAGATTATTTCCATAACAATGAATTTTTGAAATACCAACATAAATTGGCCTTAATAAATAGTCAAAATCTGGCAAAAATATGCATAAGAAGTGGGGAAGAAGCAAGAACAAATAAGGCACGAAAAGCAGTAGGACAGGGCAGAAAAATAGAGGGTGCTGTTTGGTGAACGCAGACCTTTGAATGGTGGGAGGATTCCAGGGTAGAGCTATGCAGGCACAACCAAGGCCACGCAAAAAGCCAAAGCTGTAGAGGAAAGAGACAGAGTGAAGGAGGCATGAAGAGCTATGGAAAAGGAATGCCTACCTGAGCACCTTATGACCACTTAACTTTGGCAACATACTAATCTAGCAGCACACAGTTTCCTCTAGTGAACACACCACATGGATGCTTTCCAAGTTTCTCTGGTGAGCTTCTCGACGATCATCTCGACAGCCAATCGAATGAGCACAGATTGTGAGAATTAAAGTTTCATGGGAGGAAACACTCACTAATACTTAACAGCACCGCGAGGTGTATCTCGGCTCATGAGAATGGATTTCTGTGTGAGAAAAAGAGGAAGACTTACCATCCATTCGGCTTAGATCCACCTCTCGGAGGTGGGTCTGGTGGAGGAGGTGAGGGAAGAGGCATTGGAGATGGTGGAGCCGCACCAGGACTATCAATATTGGAGTAGATGGACTCTTCCATTTGTCCGCTGCCACCGTTAGTGATGGAGGTCAGCTGAACGGCCTCTGCCAGGGAGCGCAGATAGGCGTTCAACTTGGCGTCGGCACGGACATTAGTGTAGCCGGGTTCAAGGCAGTCTATCAGGGGACTGGGAGGCAGATCAGCTAGTGATTCACCAGCGCTCCAGCGAGGTGATTCTAGAGAAAGGGGAGGTTTAGGAGGTGGAGGTGGTGGGGGACTATCTCCCGTGGGTTCCATTTGTGACCACAACTGTGCCAGAAGACGTCGATCCTCCAGAGTCAAGCCGCCACCATGTGGAGACTTGGAACCCTTCAGTGCAATGTCTGTTGACGACATTGTCGGTGGGAGAGTAGAATTCGCTGCAGACCCGTTGGTTGACTTGCTGTTCGATGGAGGAGTTACACGGGGGAAACGAAACGACAAGAATCCGGTTTGTTTGACTTTTACCCTGCAAAGGGGGTTACGCCGATAACATCATGAACGATGACAAGACTGTAAGTAGCATCTACTTAATCCATTGAACTGTTTAATGCGAATAATGAGGAACGATTTAGTGAGAAATTAGTACACAAGATTTTATGCATTTTTTGTCCACTTAACGATTTCTCATTTAAAAGTGTATTCTTGTTGCTAATTTTATGACCCACCATGTGTTTCGGTAATCTTTTAACATGAGAGCGTAGAATTTCCACCCACGCCTAGCATAGTATGAGAAAATCGGTGTTTTATCGGATAATGTATAACAAAAGAGTGTGAATTTGCGTGCATCGTGAGAATTTCACACATTTTCCGAACTTACAAACACGGTTTTTGATGGAATTAGTGCTTTATTTCCCTAAGCGGCATTTTTCCACGGTGTTTATGCACACATATTCTCAGAAGCATGAAAGGAAGGAAGATACGGGACAATTTGTCGCCATTAAATCACACAATGTGCGCAGCCATTCGCCGTGTCCCTACAGTACCAGAAGGCGCATCATCAATTCGCAAGACTCATTTCTTTTCCGATCTGCAGAAGGACACCAAATGGTTAATCACTTCCATTTATACGGCCTATTATTAGCGGAAAGGAAGGGCGAAGGGCAAAAGAGGAGGCGGGAGCGGGGACATAATTAAAGCCGACGCCCATTATCGCAATTACAGGTGTTGGTTCCCATAATTCCACAAAGACGCAAACTCACATTGGACTTCTCGCTCCGTTTACACACGACAGAGCCTGTGGTGTTGTTGGCCGTGTGCATCCCGAAGCCTCCAAGCTGAGGAATAGCGACTAAAAAAAGGAGAGAAATGGTGTTTTAAACTAAAGGCAAATCGAGTTATCACCTAGAATAAGCTCATATGGTAGGTAGCAAGCTTTGCCCCAATCGGCTTTAATGAGCTAAGCACAGAAAATTAAAATAATAACGAAGCATACGAGGTTCAGTCCACTGAATGCAAGGAAGCATTTTTTCCCGTAAATGGGAAGAAAATACTATGACAGCATTTCCTGACCCTTGATTTGTCAGTTAATGCAATCACAACGTAACGCTTCTGTGGTACCAATGATTGCTGTTATGGGGAAACATCTCCCGAAAATTCATCCAATCGAAAAGGCTGTTCGGCGATGGGTTATTGCTAAAGTACACAAAATCACAAGCAGATTTATTTCTGAAGTTGAAAAAGATCTCTTTTGAATCACACTATTTGAGAGCCTCTAATGTGCTTGATGTAGGTGGTCTCTTTGACGGAGAGAAGTGGGTTGCGAAGATAGATAAGTAATACGGTTAAAAGGAGATGCGAGGATGCCAAAAGTCTGGGAGAAAGAGGAAAGACAGAAATGGCTGAAATAAAGGAGTGTACCGGACATAGCCTTGCATTTAGGCTGGTAAAGATATCTAGATTACGCGTAATTGGTACCAATGGCAAAGTGTGCCCAAAAATTAACCTTTGGAATGCCAGTCAAGTGGCATGTAACGAGGTGCCTCGTGGTAAATTCTGTGCGACTAAAGGTCATCAAGACCCTTGTGCCATTGACGCTTGTGGATGATTCCAAATTAGCCCGGAGGGATCTACTCTGGAGCCAATGCTAGAACCAAGCTTTGGTTCGAAAGTCTTCCCAAAATTCATCCATTTAATTGTCGAATTCCTAAAATTTAATCTACGGAGTGAATGGCTTGGTATTAGTTCATACAAGAGTACGGATTTTATTTGAGTGATGACAAGGAAAGTCAAGTGTTTAAGTGACCACTATAACCTCATTTGGGTTATAAGTAGCCTGCTTTTTGTCCAGAAGGACAATTAATAGATAGTGTGGAGCTTAATCTGATCAAAAAACGAGGAAGACTACCAAGATATGGATCATGTAATCAATTTCACGGTACCCAACCAATGATTCCACCTCTTGTCATTTGAATAAGGAATCTTTTAAAGTGAACAAGAAAGACAATAACGAAAGGAGGGTTCTCACTGCCATAGAAATTCGCTTTATCCTGACGATGTGGTCTGCGAGTGTCTACATCCAAGGGAGACAAAGCATCTTACGATCGCAAGTGGTGAGCCTAAGTTATGTGTTCGAGTCTGTATGGAGCACTCGCAGAGGCTGAAAATCTCCCAGTACTTAGTGACTTGGCAAATCCAATTACGCCTTTCAATAAAATTTTGAATTGTCTCATTGCAATTCCTCCTACACTTGAGGGAGACTAGCGTCTGGTTTGACAATTTATGACTGGAGTTGCTGCTGCCCTCATTTTCTTCGACAGAAGATAGGCACAACTTAGGAGAGGATGAACTGTTAGAACTGTCAGTTTTAGCCGGCCATCCTTTTGTTCCTGAAACGGCTCGAGACAAACGAAGTCCGTTCGAGGTCAACGTCATAGCCACAATTACGGAGGCAATTTGCAACTGCCCCTCTCTACACTACTTCTTCGTGCACACATCGTGGGCCAGTTAAGTCCGGGCACTGTTAATCAAGGTGGGAAGTAACAGTAGTTGAGTGCTTGATAACACAGTCCCTTGTAATCCAAGAATTAGATCTGAGATCGTGGATATCTGCTCTTATCTAAAGTCAGTAATGCTCCCGGTCTTGGTGGTTCCTGGCCCATTATACAGCAGTCATTCGGCTTGACCCTAAGAGCTGGATCGCGCATAACCTTACTGTGTAGGGATGGTGAAGGTAATCATTCACAATGATTTGCGATTCCAAAAAGTTAGCGCATTTTGGACACCGGGAAAGCTAGCCGACTTTGACCAGTGTATGAACTATACTAAAAGGCAAAATTCAAAAGTCCCCGTTTGACCAGACTAATCCTTTTAATTTGAACAGATGCGTGTTTTGGAGAGATGAATGTAGCCTCTTCTACGTGAAAAAGCATGAATCACCCACCGTTGGAACCGGTGCCATTGACATAAGCAACAGGAGCAGAGGTGTGGGGGGCGGGAACGTCGTGTCAATGGCAGACCAATGTCCACAAACGGGGTTTGTTGGCGTGCCGGCAGCGGTTACACAACAGCCTTCACCTCCAGTTACTTCAAGACCACAAGAGCGCAGTGTTTGCGTGTGCGTCGCCCGACGCTAACCTTGCTTACCATCTCTGCTTGATTAGAGGATGCTGTGACAGCGGCACTAGACTGCAAGTTCATTCTCAATATACCAAGTGAAATGTCACGACTTAGGAGCCATTCTTCTATGCAAATTGACTCTGGAGGCAGAACGCCTTTCAGTCTCATAACATTCCAATGCAAGACGTCAATCAAGGATGGCAAAGAGGACGAACTATAGAAAAGGAGGGGAATGTGAATCATCCAAGTCACGTGACTTCATCCACTGAGATGGTCGAAAAAGAGAAAGGAAAGGGAAGGGAATACAGCTTCCCAGTCTACAACATTTTGTTGCACGAAACATGATAAGCTACAAAACCTCCTAGCCAAGATATGACGACCACAGCATTCAACGACTACGTCGGGCTGTTGGAAGCTGGCACGATTATTCACAGAGACAAAAAATTCTCATCCAAATAGGCACCGTGCATCTGTTCGGTACTTAGACCTCTTGCTGTAATGTAAACATCGGAGAGTAGTGATGGATTGTTTACCAGAATCACCTGAGAGTGCAGACAGTGTCTAGGAGGTACGCTTCCATACTTCAATGTGAAAGTTCCGAAGGGTTTCGTAATCTGGATCACAGATACTCCACATTATTTTCAGCAGGACTAAGAGGTAAGTGGACCACGGAGGAGGGCACATGCATGAGAAAGTTTGGTGACTTCATGTAAAGAGGAATCTCTAGAAGCAAATAAATACCTTCAGTGTTCCAATGCTGCCATTGGTAGCAACATGGAATTTTCACAGCGGTCACTTGAGAGGAATTTGCTTGGCAGGAAACAAAACAAGGCAGTTTATGGCTCTTTCAAGAAGGGTTTTCTACATTCTGGTATTGCACTAGATGGGAGATAAACACAAAAGAATTAGCTGGCCCAATCTCTTTTGTTTTTATCCCTGCACAGAGCATAGTACCGAGAATTTCAGTCGCCTGAATCGTTCGTGAAGCAGTATAATTAATCTGCGAGAAATTTGTACAATTTGAATGGCGAAAAAATGGAAGTGATTTATGTAACAGAGGAACATAAATTTTGGGTAGAAGGAGCAGAAACGCAAGAGAAAGTCGGTTTAAAATTAAAGGAAAAGAATCTACACGTGAAACAGGGGTAATTACAACTAAAATAAACGAAAAGCCTGACTTTGTGAAAGAAGTGAGGGGACAATTCCATTCTTGCAGCAACAGAAACAACCTCCACATTGAGGACAGAGATAAATAAAGAGCTATATTCGTCTCAGTAGTTATTTAAAGCTCCGGAAAGTAGATGGGAGTGGTGAAAAATATGGTTAGACAAAAGGTCTCCCACCTCACCAACTTCTTAAATTATCGAAAATCGCGCACCAAGAGGGGATTCTCACCTCGGCGGCAGTTTGAATGGCTAAGAAGCAGGCGTTGCCGCGCGCCATAACCTCGCCAACGTCGTCAGGAGTAACAACGCCGTCAGCGCGAGGCGAGTCAGGAAAGTGGGCGGAGGAGGAGGAGGAGGAGGAGAGGAAGGGTGGCCGGGTGAGGGGTAGAGGGAGAGTGACACGAAGACCGCTTTTCTTTGCGGTGGTGGTGGTAGTAGCGGGGGTGGAGGCATTCATAGAGGGCTGTCCAGCTGGTGTTTCTCCGCCCAAGGCGACGGGTAGCACCTCCATCGGAGGCGGGTTGAGCGTCGCCAGTTCCGTCAACCAACCAGCAAACGCCACGTAGGCGTTCTCAAACCGACTTACCGCCTCGAGAATCACCCGATTTTCACTGGATTGGCATAAAAAGAATGAAATTAGTTCACTTCTTTGACTGACCCAGACAGAGCAATAAATAAATCCTTACAAAAACATGACAGGTAGGCACATCGAAATTGCTCGATGTCGTTGTGGTGGGAACGTACCGTAATAACAGCGCTTCTGCTTCGCTACAACTTTTAATACATCCACCAACACAGAGAAAGACACTCAAACTTGGAAAAGGGGACAATGTCTCAGCAAATACTCCTTTTCAATTTTCTATGTGGTAAGAGTCATTTTTTAATTTCTCTCGAGTCAGCTTGAACTCTGCTCCTGCCACCAAGGATTCAAGTCCACCAATTCGTCTTTTTGTCGACAAAACCACATCAAGGACAACTGATGTACAACAATGCAAAACTTGTCCAAGTACTGCTTGAACCATCAAGACAAAAAGGACATCGTTTCGCTGGTCGCCTCTTTTTAATAGTCGTGTGTTTATGAGTCGCAGAAGCGTTAATGTCAATCAATCAAACAACCAATAAGCCAATCAAGGGAGGGTTTTCAAAAAAGACCAAACTTTGTTCGTTATGTGTCAGTCAATCTATTAAAAACGTGGACTTTTCTATCACAGTAACTTAAACAGCTGTCTGTCACTGTGTTAGAGATTTAAATGGCTTCGATTCGAACAGGAGCCAAGACTGATAAGAAGCTCTTTAGCTAAGGGATAAAGAGGTACAAAACTACAAAAAAAACATCAAAAAACTCCTTTGATTTTCGATGCGGCCCACTCCAAAGGCACCTTGTAAGGTGTGTGAACTTTTAAAATGCATGCGATTGTTTACATGCAGGGTTTACAAAGTGCTCTCTCTACCTTTGTCCTTTTACCATGAACCCTCGCGTCATGAAAAAGCGGTTGAACATGAGGCATGTGATATGGAGCTTGCCCAGTAGACGCCCCGCCAAGAAGGGGTTAAAGTATTTCAGTCTGGTGATGTAGCAAATAGGTTCCAGTCTCATGCCTTGACAGATGACCATCAGCTCTCAAGAACATCAATTCGTTCTCGTCTCTTCTGGTTTGTAAGAAATGTGGGGTCTTTAGATTGTTCGCTGTCAGAAATGGTATTTGTATTGTGGCGTTCGTTTGGGGAACAAATATATTATGATTTATTCCCGAAAAACCCACACTCCCGGTGACTACACATCGTGTATGCTCAATGGGTTGCTTGCTGGAGACAAAACAACCATTAAAGCTGATATTTATCTACTTGAGACAATGCGAATGCGTGGATGAAACGGCCAGGAGTAGTCACGCGATTGGAGGAAAGTCCTATTAATGGAAAAAACTCAAGACCACATACTGCATACTGCCGCCAAACCTACCAGCAAGGAGATGGGAGGAAGGAGGACACCGCCGCACCTCATCCCCCGTATTCCCCTGACGATAACTTCTAACAGTGATTACTAACTTTTCTTGCCAATTAAATGCAAAAGCGAAGACGGAGTTGAAAGAATAAAAATGGGACAGAAACAGGTGGTTAGGGTTCGATTTTTCTGCCTTCAAGCCCCAAAACACCTTGACCTCGAAGTGAGCCTGTGTCTCATGGGAAAAGGAATAGATTGTGCAGTGTCATGCGATTATTTAAACAACTTAAAGACTCTACGAAGCCTTTTGTAGTTACCCAACTTTTTTTTACAACTAACCGTTTAAAGTTCCTTGGCTACTTACCTTTGATGATCGTTAGAAGAATCAGCACTTTAAATATTACCATCGTTTCACCGAGTCTTCGCCCCCCAAGTAAACTTGTTTCAACTTCCAACACAGATAGAAATTGCAAAAACTGCTGTCTGCAAGCCAGCGTCCTTCAGATAAAAAAAAACAGCCGATTTGTCCAATTGCCAAAAAAACTTTTGCCCTGGGGATGAGAATCTTGGACGAGTTTTGGAAACGAAAGAAGGCAATGAACCTGTCTGCATCCCTGAAGAAAAAAAAATAGCTGGCTGTGTTAGCGATCCAGTTTGAGAGTAATCGGTCCAATGTTAACTAAGAAGAAAGCTAATAACATTCCGCCAAACTGGGCAAATTTTCGACGGAGAAGAGAATTCCCACGCTTCTCCAGAATTCCCCCCAAGAGAGGATGAGAAATGCGAACTCACCTGTAATACTGCCTCTCAGGTTTCGAAGCTGTGGTCAATGACCTGAACGCTGCTGCCCCGGAGACGGCATTTGAGACGGACACGGAGGTGGGGAGGGTGGAAAGTCCATCTGTCTGGATGTAGGCAGCCGCAGTGGCGACCCGACAGCGGATAAGCCGCAGACACTCGGTGATTTGAGCCACCAGATTTGTCAAGTTGTCCCGGTGTACTCGCTGTCGCAACAGATTATTGGTGTAGGCCAAATCCACATAGAGATCCGCCTTCAACTTTTGAAAGTCCAGTGCCGGCTAAATTCAAAAAATGCACGCACTTCAACACCCTTTCCTTCAGATTGGCATAGGTTTGGGGAACTCCAAATTTCGTAGTAAAATCCAGCTTAAAATCTCTTTAGTTGACGGAATCAAGTGGTGACAGGCAAAATGGACTTTTTTCTCTATAAAGCAATATCAATAGCTTGTGTCTGGCACTACTCCCTGATGAGGGTTTTTCACACTTCTAAAAGCGTATTTCAAGTGCGTGTTACTCACAGCTTGAGTAATTCAATGTGTATTAAAAGACAAAAGTCATAACTACAGTCGCAATCACGAGACAACCTAGGCCAGCACGTCAGCTTCGACAATGCTGCCGACAAGTCGACCGCCTATACCTATTGAACATTTTCAGCCTAGCAATTTGGTCGCCATAATAATAATAATGCGTGGTTGTGGCTGGCCCACTCATGCTCTATCACCCAGTCCTGCTTCTATCGCCGTACTATTTGCGTTTTACAACGTCCTTAAAGATAGCTTTACCGATAAAATTGAGTTCACAATTCCAAGGAAGCAGGTGTGTCGGCGAACAGTCATGCGGTGGGCCCAGTGTATAGAGTTTGCAATCCCAAAGCCCTACTACAGTCTGTGTAACAGACCCTATGGCGCTGAATTCTTTCAGTAGCGCAACCGGTGGCTCAGTGGGGTAGCTGGAGAGGTGCGCAATTTGGCACAAATTTGCATTGCCGCTGAGGTCACATGCACAGACACAAACACTACAGCGTCAAACTTTTGCATAGTACAACAAAACGACGCAGTGAAAGAAGGCAAACATGTCATGTTCTGTCCTCCTAAAATGCAGGTTTAATCGCATACGCACACACAACCACTGCTAATGGTGCTGTTTCTGTGGACAGAAATGGGCTAAATTTACCTTCAAGGCAAAGGTTAGAGTTAATGACATCCACACAGGTATTGCTTGAGGCAAAAGCTGTTGTTGTTAGGACAATCACGTGACGCCCTGTGAGAGGATAATCTAGCATCAATTTTGCCGCTTTTCTAAAGCAATTTTGAGTGTGATGAGAAATCTTAATAATAAACAGAGTAATCACATCAAAGCTAATGACAATTCCAACTTGTGACTCTATAGCTTGAGTGGATTTGCGTGATTCGTGATGTAGGTGGTTAATTTATGCACAATGTCGTTGCTATTTCAGGCCATGTGTAGGTCTTCTGCCTAATCACGAGGTGAGCGGGAAACAAGGACGATATTAAAACTGCCTTTTCAAATCAGACATCTCATAACTGAAGCTCACAAGAATCAGAGCCGGAAAATTGTATTAATAGTACACCGGTTCATACAACATTCATGTAACTCTCAAGCACGGCTTGAGGCATATTGAGAAGTCGCCATTATATGCTATTGAATTTAATACAGAAGTCCAAGATTTCCGTTTTTTAATCTATGGACGGAAAATGAACTATAAAAAATCCATGAGAGCCCTTCGACAGGTAGTTAGAAGTCCACCAATGTTAATAAATGACAGTTTGTAATGGCGTTTCAGGGTGTGATGGAAAGGCAAGGAATAATTAAAGTACCACACACAATGTAACTCTCGGCTACGGCAGAAAAAGGCATGCTAGGAGGCGCTTAATCTTGTTGATTGGTGGCCGTTCACAAATGGACATCACTCACCATCCTTCTGTAATGAGGAATGTTAGTGGCATTTAACATATAGTAGAGCGAGGCGACTCACGATTTCTTTCAAGAGGTTTTCGGGCTCCTGCAGCAGCTGCCCTTGCTGCTGTGTGGAGGAATAGTGTTTCCGGTTTTCTCGGAACGAGGGTATCCGTATTTTCATATTGGATGTCTTTGTCACATCAGGTTTAAATATGCGGATAATTCCCTTGAAGGTCTTCGATGATGAACGTCGAACGGGAGCCTCCCTGGAGTCCAATTCGGGGCACTCTGTCGCCATTTTAGCATGACCCCGTGATCTGAAATAAAAGAAAACAAAATAGGCTCTGATATCCTTGAATGACTATTTGTGTCTGAGGGTGTAAATAAGCAACTAAACATTCTATGTGTTTATGCCATCTAGGGGAACGATGGCATTCTAAGGGTGCAAATATCCATACTGTTTGCCACCTACACTAAATTATTGTTACTTAAAGTAACTGAAAAGTCTGGTCAATGTGGTTTTTAGGATATCTGTCAAATAAGAAACTCGAGGATACTTCAAGAACAAGATCTTAAGAGAAATGGCATCGATAAATGCAAATCCAAGAAAAAAACCCTGAAAAATTAACCACAGCATTTTTATTGTACGCCAAACAGTTGTGAATGTGCATTTGCCTTTTAAGAGCTAATCTCAATTTCGGGGACTTAAATTAACGAAGAGTCGAACAGAATGGTTATTGCATTTGCAGTTTTGTAAGTGTAGGTGTACAAGTATCATATCGCAATTAATCACCGGAGGTTTGCTCCCATTTAAAGCGTGTTCGATGCCTCGCATTTTGCCACTAATAAGGGATTTGGAAGGAATTCTCTCCTCCAATTAACTTTGATAATACTCGCTTTAGGTAAGATAGTGATTAAAATGAGGCTTTCTGTGAGAGTGTAAAAAAGGCTGATAGATCGCAAAGTTTCCCATTGCAAACGCATGTGACCAATCCGCAAAAGACGTCTGTAATGTCGGTGTGACTTTATAAGTGTTAGGACAAGTCAGACATGACGAAATTGAATAATTTGAGATAAATTCGAGTGAGTCAACTGGTAAAACTGGAAATGGATTGCCATACAAAGCGGTGTCAGAGATACGTCACATTCAGCATCACAATATTTTATGAGAATTAAAAGATATTGCCATTTCTAAGCTGTTTATGTAGAAGACAATGTTAAAGTAAGGAAACTGCCGGTGTTCGAAAGTCCCAAAATACGTACAAAGTAAATAGTGCAGACCCTAGAGAATAAATAACCCCGATCCAGAAGTTCCTATTCCTATAACTGCTGATGTAAGGATTGTGGTTATACACGAACAGTCTCAAATCCAGTTGACTCCAACCGCTCCACCAGAAGAGGATTAAATGCTACAACAAAATCATTACATTGAAAGCTAAATCTGGAAAACCAGGAACGAGGCTATGCGTCTTCAGCATACTGCTTTTCACATATAAAGTCGGTATCCTAGGTCTCTGGAAGACATACATGGAAATTTGTGGCGATTCAACATCAAAATGTCCCCATATGTTTTACAGTTTGATCATGTAATGTTAAAAAACACTTTTTTTCCTAAGCAAGAATCATGCATGCATCTATGCATGTTTGTTCAGGAACACAAAAATGTTCAAAGGTGTTAACGGGTCAGCATTTGTCCCCAAATATATAACATAATACTTGTCACGTTAAAAGATCCACGGTTTTATCTATAGATGTTTGTAAAACAACGGATTGGGGATGGAATGAATTTAAATGCGATTGACGCCTCCTAAAATCCATTCGAACAAAACGAGTTGTAGTCAGTGTTTCTAATTAATTCCACAAAAAATAGAATAGGCAAATGGAAAAATAACATAGTTTATAGAATTGATAATGTCTTATAAATAAATCAGAACTTGAGAGAACCCTACCAGCTCCAACACGCATCCAGGGGATACAAAACCGTGGCCATACCTGACCTTGACATAGCAAACATGTTTTACAAACATAAACACGTAATAAAAGGGGTATAATAATTAACCAGCATATTATTTGATATTGATATGATTCATTAAATAATGAATTTTGTTTAAATTAGTGAGTAAAAGTTCAGGCGTACGACAACCCTTAGCTCATTCACTAAGTATCCTGCTAAAGTATTTTGTCGTCAATTAGGCAGGTGTTTAATCAAGCTTTTAGGCGTTTCCTGCTTATAAAGCTGTAGTGTCACGAGTTTTCTTTCAGTTTGTTAAAAGGCGAACCAGTAAGGAGGGCAATTTACTATTGGCAGATGAAAAGCTGTGGGGGCTCTGACAGGCAAAAGTACACCCTGCAGAGTCTGAAGAACACCGATGCCTTTCTACGCAGCAAAACAAAATATGGGGTCACTATAGAACACTTTTAAGTTAGCCATTCCAAGACTTTGAAAATAAGCTTTGCAATTTTGTTCCCGCTTTCTCCCGTTTGTATCAAATTTGGCTGTAACAGGACTGCTGGGGTTTTGCCTAAAGTCAATGTTAGCAGCTCAGCCATATAATTTTGTGTTTTATTTAATGTATAAGACCAACGGGAAAGACAACTACAATCAGGCCTAATACGGCAAGGAGTGTACTAAAATACGCACCATCCATGGCGCCCAAGTGCCTATATAACCTATCTTGCGGCCCACCGCCATTATGCTCTCATGATTAGGCATAAAACTTTTTTCTTATAAGTCTGCTAAAGGAGACATATCGAGTCTTTGTGAAAGCCCAGTAAAGTATTTAATTTTCCTGACGATAATCGAGATTTGATGCTTGTTTATACTTGTTGTTTACCCCGCAATTTTGTCTCCAGCTAAAGAATCATATCCTAGACAGCTGTAAAATGACGCCCTTATATTATTTTACGACAGAAATATCAACTTTTTCTTATCTTCCATTCCTGTTGCGACATTTTTGTGTCTGTACCCGCGTGATTTTCAATCGAATTTCCAATTTTTGCAGCCTGCCTAAGGCACATAACAGTAGTGAAAAGCAATTACCGAGTTTTTACGCAATGACTCGACTAAAAGTGAGTCAATCGTACACTATGCCTTCGGATACAAAATCATATAATTTTATTTACCTGTAATTTATCGGCCTCCCACCTAGTCACTCAGGTAATTTTCAAAGTACATTAAAACTGAGTAAGGCATGCAGCAAATTGTTAAATTTTCTCGTGAGAACTAGTCAAATTTAGCGTCTTTATCTTTACCTTAACACAAAAGTTACCATTTCAGCCGTTTCTGTGAACAGTTGCTTGGCTAGACCTCAGTCTGGTGTGGAAAACAACAAATCTTTTGCGCAAATATCTGATCCCAAGATAATTCGTTGAAAAAAAGACCTTGAATGCGTTTTTGTTAAAACACGGTGCAAAATAGCATTCTTTCATATTACTCTTCTGGAGCAGCTTCCTCTTCAGCCGCCTCTCCCTCTTCACCATAATCGTCATCTATTCCGACCTCTTGATACTGCTGATATTCACTGATCAAGTCGTTCATATTCGACTCCGCTTCCGAAAACTCCATCTCATCCATGCCCTCACTAGTGAAGAAGTGCAGGAAGGCCCTACGACGGAACATGGCTGAAAATTGTTCACTGACACGAGTAAATAATTCCTGTATCGCCGTGGTGTTTCCAATGAACGTGCCGGCTACCTTGAAGTTGATTGGTGGAATATCGCATACTGCGGTCTTCACGTTGTTCGGGATCCACTCTACAAAGTAGGTGGAATTACGAGTCTGGGTTTCCAGGATACGATCCTCCACCTCCTTCATGGACACCCTTCCACGGTACATGGCAGCAACGGTGAGGTAGCGGCCATGACTCGGGTCACACGCTGCCATCATGTTTTTCGCGTCGAACATCTGTCGTGTCAGTTCAAGAATCGTACAGCTTTGGTAGGACTGCGAGGTTCGACTGGCGAGGGGCGCAAAGCCGGGTACGAAGAAGTGCAGACGTGGAAAGGGAACCATATTGACAGCCAGTTTTCGTAGATCAGAGTTCAGTTGGCCGGGGAATCGGAGGCTCGTGGTGACACCTGACATAGTCAGACTAACCAGGTGGTTTAAGTCGCTATAGTTGGGGTTGGGCAACTTCAGCGTTCGGAAGCAAATGTCGTAGAGTGCCTCATTATCGATGCAGAAGGTCTCGTCTGTGCTCTCCACCAGTTGGTGGACTGAGAGAGTGGCGTTGTAGGGCTCAACCACCGTGTCCGACACCTGCATTGTAAGGCAAACTCGTCATTACTTTAATTTCTGATAGAGAAAAAGCCACCCTTTTTATAATTTACCGACAGCATTTATTTTGAGGGAAGTTCTTCATTTAGAAGGGCTGGTCACCTGCTAAAGATTAACATTTTAAGTTTTTGTGGCATTCCTGTGAATTGCTGATTGTTATATCTGAGTTAGACAACAGTTAGCTTTTAGTGTTCTTTTTTTAGCCAACTGGAAATGGCCAGGAAAAATTAAGTTGCTCATAACCTCTTATCTTTGAGTGGTATTGAATGGACAAGGGTGGATTTTCGCCGAAGATGCAAAATGCTAAATGACAAAGGTGAAGCACTTTATCTGATGTAACAAGAATAACTTAATAACATTCAGAATTTAGTATAATCCTACAATAAAACTGATGGGTGGATGAATGAATGGACAGATAGGGGTGGATATTACAGCATTGGAACGAATAGGAGATTGTAGAAAATAAAAAACCCCATTGCTAACAAGTCGGGGCGTTAGGTTATGTTGAACCATTCCTATCTAATTTAAATCGCGACACTTCATTAGGTGCATTAATCAAGGAATAAATAAAAAAATTCAAATTTACAATCCTCTCTTGTCAGCTGACTAAGATAAGTGATCCCACAACTGATAAGCCAAGTGACTTTCCAAACCAACCAACCTTAGGTGAAGGCACCACAGAGAAGGATGTCATAATACGATCTGGATACTCCTCTCTGATCTTCGCGATGAGAAGAGTACCCATGCCAGATCCTGTGCCGCCACCGAGACTATGGCATAGCTGGAAGCCCTGCAAGCAGTCGCAAGCCTCACACTCCTTTCGGACGACGTCCAGCACCTCTTCAATCAACTCTGCGCCTTCAGTGTAGTGACCCTTTGCCCAATTGTTGCCCGCTCCGCTCTGACCGAAGATGAAGTTATCCGGTCGAAAGAGCTTGCCCAACGGACCTGATCGTACCGAATCCATAGTTCCGGGCTCAAGGTCGATCAGGAGGGCCCGCGGCACGTATTTGCCACCTTGGCCTTCGTTGTAGTACACGTTAATGCGCTCTAATTGGAGATCCGAGTCTCCATGATAGGAACCCATCTCGTCAATCCCGTGTTCTTGTGAGATTGTCTCCCAGAACTAGCGTAAAGAATGGCAGTTAGGCATGAATCGAGAAGTTGGGAAAGCTATCAGGAGTAGAGATACCTTTGAACCGATCTGGTTACCGCATTGCCCCGCCTGCATGTGAACAAGTTCACGCATGTTGGAGAACTGGAGGACTAAACATTGACAGAGCTGTCACCTCAGTTTTATAGGTCATGTGGTGACTTGTGATTGGCGAGATGAGGGCCACTTACACACCTGCATGCGCAATCAAGCTCTTCGATTTGTCGACTCAGAGTTGTGCCTCAGGCTCACCGATCAACGAAATTGAGTGATACAGTAGGTGCATAATAAATGATCCCACGCACTTATGCGAATCTCATGCGTTTCAGACTGGTGTAGCGCCACTAACTCATGCGTTTTGGTGGCTGTTTTACATGTAGCCAACTCCGGAACGTGCTCTCTCGATTCTTGTGAAAGTGAGCAATCAAGTTAGGCTCAACGTCTATCATATCTCCTTGAAGGGAGCTTCATCGCCTTTATAGCTGCATTTATAGGCAGGACTACTGCCAACTTGTAAGGTGTTGCGACTCAGTGGAAATCGGTTCCTTTTCTCGATGAAATAATGTTTTATGGTTGACTAATCTAGGATTGATCACTCCATTCAAGGAGGGACCGGAGTCTGATGTTTTCGTGGAAAAGGAACTTCTTTTGGGTGCACACGTTGTAGTAAAGGCCTTATTTATTGAAAAATACCTTTTGAAAATAATATTCCCAGAAAGACGTTTAATTTGTTGTTTTTGAGCACTTTATCATGTGATTGGGATTTAGAATGAGTTGGGAAAATGCGTGTTTTAGTTGCACGATTTATTTGGGCGTAAAGCCTGTTAAAAGCTGAAGTAGGTGGCACAGTAAACTTAGGCTTTCAAGAAAAAGAGATCGCCATAAATCTTTATTTTACAAAAAGGAATTGTGTTTTGTTGAAGTAAGGAAGTGCACCTTATTATTGGGGTTGGTTTATCTGAAGATTTTGATCTTAACAGCAATGTGGATGCGCGGCTAACAGACCTGATCAAAATGAAAAACAACCGACAAGGCGATTTTGACAAAGTTCCAGTTGTCACTGTCTAAGTTGGCACCTAAAACCCCTGAAGGACAGGGAATAGAGGGGATTGGTACCGAGTTATCTCAGTAGATCATTCAAAAAGATTTTACTGTTACAGGTGGAAGGCAAGTAAGTATAGTGTCAGCAGCAATACCACGTTTTCTTTTAAATCTTGTGCCTGCTGAGAGGAAAGTTGTGGTCTCTTTACTATATTTTTACAGCTAAAGATGTGGAACGTGCAGTTAGCGACGAACGATATCATCGCAGAATCTTTGGGTCTTTGGATGACGCCTACTTTGGGAAAATTAAGCCATACCATGAGTGGCACTTGTGGTCGAATGGGCCGCTGTATAGCCTGTAATTGAGAATTGCACAAAATCCACCGCTTTAGATGATTGCAAAGTGCATATGACATTCCATTCAGTCAAAACGCTGAAAAGATTCTTTACTTTGAAGTGTTCTCACCAATGAACGAGGCTTCAAATCATTAAAATAATGTAAGATGAAAGCTGTAAATCCCAAAACTGCCCCAAAAGCCAATCAGGAAATTTTGGGAGAAGGAACAACGTTGGTTGAATAGCACTTACACCTATTTAAAACATCAGCAGCTCTTAAATAAACTTGTAAAGAAATTGTCTACTTGACCAGTGCGCCTTCATTTTTGGTTAAGTTGGTTACAAATCATGTGAGAATGGGTTATTTAAAGAGACATTTGGTTCTAATGTTAAACGTGACCAACTTGTTCACCTTTGAGTTTTGGCAGTGGGAACAGCTTAAGGCTCAACCACTGTACTTCCGCTCAGAGGTATAGCCTCCGCGCCATGCTAGCACCCACTCAGCCGTCCTGTACATCGTGGAGCTATGACTTCTTACGTCTTCAGGAAAGACTAGGGGTGCTACGCAAATAACCACCAAAATTCCATCAAAGTTTGCCATCTTGTAAACTTATTCTGTACTTCATTTGTCAAAGCGATGGCTTTTAGAGGCATTTTTACTAAGTCACAACACTACCTACGCAAAGTTGAGTCTGTGTAGCACCAAGTGGTGCCTGTGCTCCTGCTCACAAGATGCATTGATTTGAGAATGTGTAGCAGTGAATAGCACCTGTGCAAGTATGTGAAGGTAAACTGCCTAGCATGCAATGGTTTGGCACTGGTGCCCTCTGCTTTCACCTAATGGTATTCTACCCCGCTTAAATGCATTTTTATTGGCATAGCTGCTGATTCACATACACACACACACACACACACATCGGCATTTCAGAGCATACCTTTCGGCAATCAAAACAGGTGCAATGTACCAAAGTCATACACTCATATTCTGATGAAGACTCTGTAAAACAAACAGGTATTCTCAAGAATCCTCCAACTTTCTCAGACCATATGCATATGTAAGAGCACACTTTTGTCTTTCACACTTGTATGTTCCTCGATGCCCTTAAAAAATTTTAGTTCTCCCAGACCACGTGGCAGCCTTACTTTTGGTTGTGTGTGTGAGAGAGAGAGAGAGAGAGAAAAAGGCGGACCACTAGAGTATTCTGCAAGACCACAAAAGTCAGCTCACGTTTACAAACCCACTGACCCCAAATGAGGTGTCGGTAATTAAACCTGTAAAAACACTCCCAACGATGTTACTGCATCTAAACAATTTAGATCATTAGCGCTATAAATGAATATTATTACATTAGTCATTTAACCGGAACTGAGATGTGCCGCACAACCACTTGCGCTACCTAAATTTCCAGAAAAATTACCTGTTAGGAGCCCCGGACTGCTGTGCTAGAAAACAATGAAACCATGTAACTGGATTGATGCTGCACAATCACAGTTGAAAACCCATTAATTCGTCTAAGTTAGCTGCGACAAAAGTAGTTCTGTTAAAAAAACTTCAGAATATACGATAACTAAATATGTAAGAAGGAAAAAAGCGTTCAAAGAAAATAAGAAGGATTTATGTTTGTTGATTCCTATATTTATACCCCTCCTGTTTTTTGATATCCCCATATTCACCATTCGCTCATCTTAAAGTTATGTGCTCATGAAAACAAAATTAGGTTGCTTTTATTGGTTCCATATGAAAAATTGGCACAATTAGTTAATTGTAAAATAAATTTTAAGTGCAAAACAATTAACCCTACTTACATTTTGCAAGTAGCAATTTTTCTCAGTTGTCACTATGCTGTGGATATTCAGTGAATTTTCAAGCAGAAAACAACCACTTTTATGTATCTCAAGTAATCGCTCGATTAATTCTTAATGAATTTTTCCGAAAAATAAGTGGCATATTTTCACCCCTAAATCAAAGAAAAAAATCAAACGCCAACAAGTTTTTCATTCAGTTAGGAACGATCATCGGTAAGTGTTTTTCCAGACCATAAAAAGATGCCGAAGAAAAACTTTTGGCCTTCTTGATCTGATTGAATGGCATATGATTGCCCTTTTAAAAGCATGCACCTTTTATTGCGCTGAGGTGTGTTGGCCAATCAAATGAATGAGGATTTAAGTATTCTTAATAGGATTGGTCGAGAATCTCCTTTAATAAAAAAACTCGAGTTATCTGTTAATTTGTTTTGCACATTTGTCTAAAATCAGACTTTGTAGACTTGAAAAAGAGCCTTGTGGAATGCTAATAGAAATGTTCTGAAGGCAACTATATGATACTCAAAACTGTGACGGAAATAGGGGAAACTAAGGGTTGTAATGACTAGACAGACTTAACCTTGACTTTTCCTATTACACTAATTAAACTCATCAAAAAACGGTAAACAGTTTCTCACACTTGCCTCAAATCAAACTTCTCTTGCCAGAATTGCAGGGACCAAAGTGGAATTAGATGTCTATATATCAGTCACATAAGTGTTACTAATCAAGAATTCCTTGGCTCTACTTTTAACCCCATTTACATCGCGATCTAGTGATGACCTTAGTGGCACACACAAACATTAACCTTACTGCCAAGGTGATTAGTCGCATTTCCGTGGCATTTTTAGTGGGTCCATTGGTTTTCCTTAGGCAAGAAACTTACCATATCTGCCTATCAAACTATGGTTACTTAATTGCGCTACTTTTAGTGCCTAAAATTTTTTGGCTAAGAACTTTTATCCACCAGCTTGATGTTCAAGTTCCGCCTGGTCAGTCCTGTATCTTACATAGTAATCGCGCATGGGTCGCAGCTCTCAGACGACCTAAAGTCCACTAGCATAGCTTCAGGTGACCGACCCAGAAGCTGATCGCAGCGAGTTGGATAGATCCGTGTCCTTAAACAGAGTGCTGAATTAAATATAACTCTGGTATAAGGTAGGGGAATAATTTTTTGCCCTTTCGATAATAGAGATTCAAGACCCTCAAAAATTTTACCATTATTTCATTCCTGGCAGTCTGTAATCCATAGAAATAGGAAATCTATAATAGCCTTGGGTACCTCCGTTTCTCTCACTTTTACTTCCAAAGCATCTATTCTACTTCGCATGTGATTGTTGAATGTTAAGAAGGGGTAGAAATTATCATTTGGAGAAGTACAATCAGGCGGATGGGGAGAATGCAGTTCTTTGCACGTTCGAGCTGCATCCAGTAGATTCTGGTCCCAGTCGTTGTTGGATGTCCAGCAAGTGACCGCTTGTTCGTATAGTTATCCACTCTCAAATGAAACATGATCTTCTGGGGTTGAAATGGGAATTGCCTTAGAATTGTGAAGTGGCTAGGGGTACTCGACGCTGCGTTCGTTTATTTGGCATAGGCGTACCAAATTACCGCAGTTGTTTCGCCTCATAAGCAGTCAGCTGCCCTGTCAGTCGGCAAGCAAATTAAAATTCAACACCCACGTTCCAAGAGTGGACAAAAGAGATGCAGAACCAACCTCTCTTTATTACAAACCCAGCTTCTCTTATCCACTGTTAAAGCTTAGCCCCTTAGCTGCCACCACGTCTTCTCCCTCCGAGCTGGTGGTTTGTGTGGACGTAAACCATGAGTTTCACCAGTACTCAAGTTAGACATCTCTAAGACCTCTTATCGACTTGTTATTCTCAAGTCTATGTGTCGACAGGTCTTCCTGAACC